AGATGACATGTGTTGTGAATTGGCGCTATAGAAATAAACTGAATTGAATTCAATTATTGGCAGCGTTTTGGTATAAAAGGGGGTTCACAGCAGGAAACCGTCAGATCTCCTCCAGACTGCATCATAGGGTGGATCCTCTTTGCGTCCTCACCCACAACCAACAAGCGTCCTGCAAAGCACCCATGACGCTCAATCTGCTGTGACTGAAAACCTTCTCTTTCTCTTTTTTCGGGTGGGAAGAGCATTGCTGCTCCGCGATGCGCCTGAGGGGAGCAGTTTTAACTTATGCTTCATAACGCTGCTGTGCTTTATGCATAATTTAGGCTGTCATTGGACATAAGTTCTGGACTCCTTATGAATACGCCCGAAATTTAAAAGAAATTCATCGAAAGTTCAGCACATGCCAGCGTTTTAGTAGATTCTATGACTTTGGGCATATGCTGGCTAAATTGGCATGGTGTGACAGGGCCTTTAATTTAATCTGGAACCGGCACTGGTGTGGGGAAGTAGCTGCTTAGTTTGCTTATGCTTTGGACAGGCTCTGTTAGTAAACCACTCATCAGCCTCCAGGCCTTTTATGAACTAAATAATGTAACAACCTGTAAAGCAGGCCCCTAAAGGTGGACTTGTTGCCATCATCCCTTCAAAAGGATCCCTACTGACTTCCAGTTATTTCTCATTAAACACTTTGAGCATCATACACTTTACTACACATTTCTATGTTTTCCATGCACACGCTCTCAGACTAACTAATCCAATTCATCCAGCTTTTAAAATAAAGTTGATGAGGGTTCCTTAAATGTTTATGAGGTGTCTTTAGAGGCAGCATCCTCTCGTGCCAGGTGCATGACACAGATGCACACCGTGCATGCTGTGCAGAGCAGGGCAGCATCCCGCCCCACCAACAGGAACACGGTCAGAAGGAGCCATCTGCATTGCACTCTTTCTCCAATAAATGGGGCAGAAGGTGGATCCAGCTGGATGGAAAAGTTTCACTCACCCCAAAACGGGCTATCCTGCAGCTCTCCGCCGGGAGGAGGAGATGTCCCGACTGCTTGAGAGCAGATGATCTTCTAGGTGTGAGGCAGGATCAGCCCCTGGCAGCAGATGTGTCCCATGCTTCACACCTTCTCTTCCGGAAAACACGGACACTGCAGCCCACGCTCCCCCCCTCCCCTTTCCCCTGCGCCTGTGATCCTGAAGCGCCGCTGCGCCGCTGCGCCGCAGCCACGTCAAACGCCACGGAGCGGCTGCTCAGCAGCGCCGGGATCCAAACTGGATTCAGTCCGGCTGCTTTCTGCACATCCACAGCGCGAGGATCCCAACAACTTTATCACCCGAACGCGAATCGACCCGTGGGTCCTAAAACCCGCCTTGTTCACGCAGCATAACCAAAGACAATAGCTGCGGTGAAGCAGGATTTACGTCCAACAATAACTCGCCTCCATTTCCTTCCCCCGATCACGTGCTCAGAATTTTATAATAGGATTTATTAGCGCACGTGCCACGGAGTCCAATCTTTAATATCGCACCTCCATTAAACGCAGGACTTGTGGTTTTAGGGCAAACGGCGCCCCTAGTGGCCGATCCATGAAAGCCGGGATTCCAGTGAAAGTCTGAGGAACCGTGAGAATCACAGACTGATTACTAAGCTTGCTGGACACATTATGATAAACACATCAGTGCATTTAGATGCAGTGGACTCTTCTAATGGATTTTCAGGCCCTTTTATTCTGATATTCTGTAGTTTTAAGGAACATCTTTGCATTATGAATCATTTCAGTTTTACTGTTTATAGTTTTATTTAGTAAAATGGTCTATTTTAATTGAAAAATCATACAAAACACATAGTTTTCAGTGCTGTGACACCTTAAAAGAACTAATCAAACTTAGAATCCTTGTATTGTTATTATTTTCATTCTGTTGTAGAACCTCTATAGAAATCCATCCATCTAAACAAGATTACAGCAGCAATGAACTGGATCGAGCCTGACAGTATGAAAGATTTGCGACTCAACGACTCTCTGAAACCATTTAACAAGACACCACCCTCAAACCATATCTGCTCCGAAAGCAAGCTCTCTGCAATCCCAGAAACTTAACAAGGCTGTCGCTACATTTATCTGTAAGGATATTCAACCTTCTAGCGTGGTTGAAGATTCAATTCAGTTTATTTCTATAGCGACAATTTACAACACATGTCATATCAAGGCACTTTACAGTTCACCGGATCATACAGTCAAACTGATTCAAAG